GGAGAGGGATGCGTGATGAACAATCTGCATGTTCCATTGGTATCGATGATCCAAAGAGATCTAAAAAAAAGGCCTTCTGAGCACTGAGCAGATTCTAAGAGTTGGCAGTGGGAAAGGAGTGCCTTATATGGCAGCTCGTGCAAAGACTCAGAGATGGGATGTGGAGTACCATGTAGGAGGAATGGTAAGAAGTTTTCTGGACTGCAGTGTACTCGAAGGGAAGTAATGTATAATTAGGATGGAAAAGTAGACTAGGGCCTGGTTGTGAATTTTTTTAGACTGATTTGTATTTGTTTGGTTATGTTGTTTAGATTTTCCCTTCTTATCCTTCCCTTTTGTCCCTGCCAGAGGATTTTTTAAAAGGAAAAAATTATTAAAACCATTCAATGCATCAAAAAACTCTGACATTATGTGTAATGTCCCACGTCCACTGACTTCCACCTTTGCAAAGGAGGAGAGGTGTGTCTTCTTCTATCTCTTCTTTGGGGCCACACTTGTTCTTTATCATTTCACAACATGTTCATGAAGATTTCAAAATGCAAAACAGAGGTGGTAAAAGGGAGGCACTGGAGTTGAATGTGTAGAAGAACAACATTATCATTCTTATTTTCTGGGTAGAATACAGGGGAATTATCAACACTGCCAACTTAGGTCAGGCCAGTTCAGTTCCAGGTACCACATTTTGTGGAAGACACATTTTAGGAAAGGATCTAAAGGAGGGCAACCAAGACAGTGAAGGTGATCGTGTTCATGTGGTATGAAGACTGGTTGAAAGAACTGGGGAATTTTCACCTGGAAAAGAAAAAAAACTCTGAAGGGATATAATACATGCCTTTAAGCATTTAAAGGGCTGTCAGATAGTCCCATCAAGTAGAAGGAGGAGCAGTGGGTAGAAACTGGAAAGAAGCAAGCTTCAATTTCAGGTAAAGCAAAACTTTCCCCAAATCAGAGCCACTCAAAGAGAGAAAGGGCTGCCTCATAAGGTTCAGAGCTCATTGGAGGTCTTCAAGCAACCTAGATGACCACTTGCTTGGTATGTTGAAGAAAGGATTTTTGTTCAGATGAGTTAGCCTGTAGGGACTCTGGGGTCACTTTCTACTATTGACACCCAGTTGAGTCTGGTTTTTTTTTTTTTTTTGGAGGGGGGCTGTTTACCCTATGTGGGTATTATGCAGCACATTTATTGAGGGGAAATAAATTGGCAATGGTACTAAATGTTCTGTGGTTTGAATTCTCATGGACTGGGATCCATCTTTGTGGTCCTTCCCTGGGAATAATTCAGCCCCCAATCATTATTTAGCTCCTGAGAAAATCCAAATTTGGCTCATGTCTCTCTAAGAGCCCCACTCTCTCCTCCCCTGTTGCTCTTGCAGGGAGATGACAAGGAATCCTCATTTATTTCTTCCTTTTTCTAAGATTTAAAAAAAGTGCATTTAAAAATTTTACTTTGAAATGATGTTGCAATTTTCTGTCAGTATTTTGGATTCATGCCACTTAGAATAAATGAGCTGCAAATTAATCCAAAAACATTTTGAGCATATAAAGACATTCATCTTCCCACCCAAGGGCTAAAACCAACTAGTACATTTTGCAGTCTTTGTTACCAAAAAACTTTTACTGTTCTACAAGATCGGTTTCTAAGAAATTGGGATATACATACTCAAAATAATTGTGTACTTAGACCATGATCTGAGTGACACGTGATTTATGTAATAGAATCATAGGTCAGTGACGGAAGGAACCTTAAAGATCATCTTCTAGTCCAACTTGACATTGCTTAAAGTCTCTGGTTTTGAGTTCGCACGGATTGAGTTCCATCATTGTGGCCCCCTCCCAGCATTAGTTCCTGGGAAAACCAGAACTTGGCTCATATTTTTCTAAAGGCCCTCCTCTCTATTTTTTTGTGATCCCTATAAGCAGTGAGTTTTAAAAAAAACAACTGAAGGAAGATATCAGGTTTATGAGTGGCAGGAATAGAAGGGACCATTCAGTTAAATTCCATCTTCCCAAAGTTCAGCACTGTCCCTGGCACCTTACAGTCTAACAATCGTTCAAGTCAGTTAGGTTCACTCATTCCTCTCTTGGCTCTACTCCTGACCCTCTCAACTTCTTTCTCAACCATGCCTCCATGTGAGTACTTTACCTTCTCTCTCCCCTCATCCCCACCTCACCTTTCAGCTTCCTTTTATATCTTCTCCTCCTTAGAATGAAAGCTCTTTGAGGGCAGGGACCATCTTTCTTTTTGCTTGTATTTTTATCCCCAGCATTTAGCCCAGGGTCCGGCACACAGTAAGCGTCTAATAAATGCTTATTAACTTGGCATGGACTTTGTTTTACATTCTTATGCACTTATATAGTATCACATATTATTGCTATTTTTGATGTAATTTCCCTCTGAAACCGAAAACTCCCATGAGGACAAGCCTGTTCATATCATATAGCCTTTTATCTATCCCAGTGCCTAACATAGTGCTTTGCACAACAGTAATATGTGTCAAATTAGTGGAGTGAGTTTTTTTTTCCCTCTCTCTTCCCTACCCCATGTAACCCCACACTGGGATATATTATACAAGTTTATGTGGCTCAGAATTTCACTCTTTTGGTCAGATCTTCCCAAACACTTCAGCTAGATTCTAGAAGGAATGTTTCCAGGCCAAGAATATCCTAGTCAGTGAGCATGCTGATGTCACAGGAAGGAAACAGTTCTTTTGAGTGCCTGCCATTAGTACGCTGTTGATTGTTCTTCATTCTGGAAGAGGACAAACATAATAATCATTATGCGGGGTCAAGGTACAGTATGTCCAACTGTGGCTGATCAGACGAATACAAGTTTGGAAGGCTCTATCATAGGACAGGCACAAAGAGTCCAGATCAGTCTCTATATTTCCACATCTCAAGTTTCTTTTGAGCTGGCAACTCCTTCTTTGACACAGGCACGCCATGCTGGGCGGTCCTTTGCTAGCGTCTCTCGTGTCTCACAATCGATTCCAAAGTTCTTCAGAGAGACCTTGACAGTGTCCTTGTATTACTTCTCCCATATGAGCACTTGCCTTGAGTTCTCCGTAAAATAGTCTTTTAGGCAATCATACATTCGGCATTCAAACAACATGATTAGCTTGTTGGAGTTGTGCTCTCTGTGGTAGAGTTTGAATGTTTGGTAGCTCAGTTTAAGAAAGGACCTCAGTGTCTGGTACTTTATCTTGCCAGGTGATCTTCAGAATCTTCATAAGACAATTCAAATGGAAACAAGTAAGTTTCCTGGCATGACACTAGTACATTGTCCAGGTTTCTTTGGCATACAACAATGAGGTCAGCAAAATGGCTCTGTAGACCTTCAGTTTGGTAAGCAGTCTAACACCTTTTCTCTCCTACACTTTCCTTTGGAGCCTCGCAAACACTGAGCTAGCTCTGGCAACGCATGCATCAACCTCATCCTCTTTGTGTACATCCCTGAAAAGTATATTGCCACAGCATTGCAAATTTCTCCATTTGCTGTAACCGCATGGTTTCGTGTATGCATGGTATGGTGCTGGCTGGTGGAGAACATCAAATTTTCTTGGTGTTGTTAGGCCAGAATTAGCACAAGTAACACAGAATCAATCCATACGTTGCTGCATCTCAGCCTCAGAGGCTACATTGACTGAACAATCAAATATGGATTATAGACAGTAAAATGACCAAATTATTATCTCATGGTTATGGTTTCCTAATAAAATTCGCAAATAGGTGATATAGAGGGGGGTAGTAGGTTGCATGCAAGAGAAAAAATGCCAAATCCATCCATTTCTGCTAGAGAAAATGCCTCGTGGTTTCCCCTCCCCAACCCTCCTACCTTTGTACATACAAAGCCTATTAAATCATGGAATTTAAACTTTGAAATCATCTCCCTCTTTTTACAGATGAGGAAACTGAGGCACAAAAGTTAATTGAAGTATTCCACACTCAAGGATTTGAACTGAGGTCTTCTCAATCACAATCCAGTACATCACACCATCTTAAAACTGCTGGTGGATGATGTAGCCAGTGAGATGGAGGATGCTATCTTTCTGTTATCTCACTGGCCCCTCCCTGTATGACTATCAATAGTTTGAATGCTTTTACTTCATGAGAACTCAAGAAGTAGCATGATGTAATCAATACAAAGAACAAAGTGCCTGAATTCTAACAGACTGGCCATTTACTTGACTTTGAGTAAGTCACTTTACATGATGCCAAATTTCTTCACCTGTAAAAGGGGGCCAGTCATGGGACCTACCATCCTCAAAGGATTATTGTGAAGATCAAAGAAATAATATTATGTTTAAGTGTCTTTAAAATGGTAATGCACCATTCAAGTAGATACCTTTAAAGAAAAGCAAAGAATCAATGGATTTTAGCTCTGAAAGGGAATTTAGTTGATTTCCTCTTCAAATAGGTAGGTTTTCAGAATTCGCAGGTTTTCATATCTTCTAAGGGTCAATATTTTAAAATGGCTATAAACAGATAAAAAATTCCGTATGAAGACAGAAGCTTAATAGGCACATTCCTAGAATGCATCTATTACATATATTTTAAGAAATCTGCACCAGTATCTCCAAAAAATTCTTGCTATATACATGGAATTTGCTTTCACAAAGCAAAAATGTCTCAATGGATATAATTCATATTGTAAGCAACTTCTTATATAATTCATCATACTATTTACTGCATGTGCAGGCTTTATTGACTAGGATGGTAGTATGGAAAGAGGAAAGAAAAAAATGGTCTACATTCTTGATCACTGAATGAACTTTACCATTTCTTTCTTGGTTCTCCATATTCTTCAAGTGCATAGACAGAGTAAGTTTAAAACAAAAAAAAATTCTCAAATCAAGAAAAGCACAATATTTAAAAACATATCTTTAAATGTGAAACATTGGGAAAGGCTTTCTGAATTTTGGATAAACATTTTTAAGTCATACCAGCTACATAAAACCCTTGGGTTTCCATTGTTCAGCAATAATTAAAATGATTTACATGTGTTAAAGATTTTACAAAATTATTTATTTTAATCAGCAAGATCTGGTCTGAAAGTCCTGGCTCAGTTTGTGCTGACTGTGTGCTTATACTAACAAAAATCATTACAAACAAAAGTGTGACTGTGTTTACATAATGTATTTAGCTTTCAATAGTCAACAAAATATTGTATTCAGTAGTTACGTTTGTTATGTGAATTGCATTAGCAAAATCATGTCTATGTTTCCTCAATCCAGCCCTTCCACAAATTGTTTCTCTTTTTGCAACAGCCAACCTTGGAAATGTTTTTCTGGAAAGCATTAAAAAAACAAAGTTAACTATTCCCATCCAATATCACTAAATATCAACTACTGTTTTAATAAGAAATGTTGGCAAGTATTGCACGGTATTTATTGCTTCATATCCCTTATATATTAGGATATAGGACATCATTTGCAAAATATATATGAATGAACAGGTCATGATTGGGGTTTTGAGGCAACCTTTATAATGGGTGGTTGTGTAGCTTATATATAACATTTTTCACTCTTCAAAATTTAGGCCAAAACATAAATCAAGGGGAGTAGCCTTAACACCTACAGAATCAATAGCCCTTCTTGCATCTTCATTATGGTAATGCTGCCACGGGTATTTTAAGGTAAAAGCACTACACACCTCCTGAGGATCCCCACCCACAGATGACCTTTGATTTATTTCACATATATTTATATGGACATGTCTCTCTGGTAGAATATAAACTCTCAGGGGGGAAAGCCTGTTTCATTTTTACCTTTATATCCGCAGTGACCACTACCCAGTAGATGAATAATAAATGCTTGACTGACTGACCCATGATTCTCTTGGGTCAAATCTCCATTTGAGATCAAAGCAGTGGTAGTCCATTCTGTTGAATTATGAACTATGCATTCCTTCTCATTTTCATCTCCAAAAACAGCAACACACATCCCCATATTACAATTTTAGTCTTAGAATACATACAGATAGGTAAAACTTAAACAGAGACGATCACAGCTAGTTTTTAGCTAACATTAATACTGCATGTTCTCATTTTTCTTTTGAATTAGGCAATGAAAAGACAGAACTATTTCCTATAGTTCAAACAAAATGAGACCCCAAAGAATTGAAAACAGACAAAAGAGATGGGCAATGTTCTTTTACTACAATTAAATTTGTTCTCCAGTTAAGGGAGAGATCCTTTTTTCTCCCATTACTAAACTTTAGCCATATCAGAATTTTTATTATAAACTTACACTTATTTTTTTCTTACATCTGTACTGAATTCCTGATAACTTTCAAAATACGTTATTTTTTCCTCTGATGACTTTTTTTTTAAAGGCAATATAAATAGGACATCAGATAAAACTGGAGTTGGAAGAAAGAACAATTTTAATTTGGATCACTGTGCCTAAGATTTTTTAGGATGAATGTTCTAATATGGTATTTCACCTGTAAAAAAATCTTTGGTATCATTGAATTCAAAGCAACTCAAATACATGAAGACAGAAATTCTTTACTGTTTTGGAACCCCAGGGTGTCATGCATGAATTATTTTACCTAAAGTTTTGAAAGTTGTGTCTAGAGCTTCAACTGGTATTCAGAATGACCAAAATCTAATTTTATTAATTTGTCATGTTCTGAATTACTATCAGCTGTTAGTGGACTGCTGAATACAGCTATCCCTTTATCCCACAATGCCTGCCTCTGAAAAAGAAGATGCATTATCTAGCCTATCTGACCTTCATCCCCCCCCAAAAAAATGATAACTGGACCCTACTTGATCATTCTGTCACCATAAGGTCACTCTGCTCTTTCCAAAAGCCCAGACAGATGGAACGGCTTCATTAAATGTGTTTTGTACAAATAATACTGGTCCCAGCTGACACCCAGTCCCACTGGGAAGTATGTGATTTTCATCTTAACTGTCACCACCAAACTATCAAATTCTCATGATGAGTTTGGCTGCATACTACCTCAATCACCTGCTTTTTAAGGTGAATACAGAGAACCTTTCACATATATAGCACATTGTATGCAATATATAAATATACATATATATGTACATATATGCATATATGTGTATATAAACATTCACTAAAAGCATTATTGATATTATCACAGCAATAAATACCCTTTTAAAATTACTGGATGGATGAAAGGAATGCCATCCTGTACCTGAAGCACATTGTAAATGTTTAAATTATAAATATAAATAGATATACATACATATCAATAAAAACAGCTTTAAATCAAAGGACAACACAGCAAATATCTTCATTACAGGCAGCCTGTTATACTGCTTACAAGGAAAGAGTAGAGGAAGGATTTCAATTCAAGGCAGCTAAGCTCCGTAATATAGAAAAGATTGTACATCTTCACAGCCCTTTGTGGAAAAGGTATTCCAATTCTATCCAACAAGAGTCTGCGATGACAATCTACTAGAAGAGTGCTTCAATTTTTACTTTAAAGAGTTCCAGTTATTTGAATTTTTGTGGTGGGCACGACTAAGCTAAAGAGATAAAAAGGAATCTGTTTTGATAGGAATTATAATATGGCTACACCAGAGAAAGGTGAAAGTTATATTTAACTGGTGGCCAACATGTGCTGATCGTTACTTTAGCCCAATACTCACAAAATATGGAACAAGAAAAAGAAGACCATTTTTGCTACTAAATCACATGTTCATGGGGGACTGACACTTCAGTCTCTCACTTAAAAAAAAACGACATTCACTTGCTAAACTCTTTAATAACTAAAGGGGAAGGGACTTAGCCAATCCCATAACTAATTTCCTCTAAAGTTATTAATCTTTTGGTACTTGGGAGATAAGCTCCATTCCTTATGCACTGGAGAATTAAATGGAACATCAGAGCGTTGCTATTGAAAGAGTAAAAGGCGACTTGGAAGGTTGTACGGAGCCCGCACTTAGGCTCACACCTTTGACTGGCCTATGCACATTACAACAGTTGTCCAGATAGAAATTATTTGTGTACATGTGTGCAGGGGCTTGGGGGGTGGGGAATAAGGTGAGTGCTAAGACACTGAGGGGGCATTAGGAATATGTCGATGATCATTAACCCTTAAGAATAAACCCCCCCCTCCAAAAAAAAAATGCCTTTCCAACTGACACTTTCATCAATGGTTAAAAAAATTCTGGACAAAGTCAGAGGTGGGAGGTGCTAGCATTGGAATTATTCACTGATGGCTGTATTTCTCCTGAAAAGCGGAAACAGTACTGGGAGTCAGAGATAAGGGGAGTCCTACAGAGCTCACTGAAATTTCATTCCTAACTTCCAAACAGAGGCACCACCTCCACTTCACATTCTTTTAGCACCTGTAGCTCAAAGATAATTGAGTCCTTTTCTAGATACTATACCTTCTCATACATACCTCCATGAGGTAGGTGAAATCATACTCATTTTACAGCTCAGCAGGCTAAGGCAGAAGCCTAAGGTACAAATAGCAAGACTAGCAACGATGCCAAGAGTCACACCCCTTGAATCTGCTCATCCTCCTTACAGAAGCGGGCAAGGCCAGGAGGTCTAATCATTAGACAAGGTCTCCCAAGGCAGGATCATATAAGGGACAGTTACACAAAACCAGGCATCATTAGAGGAGGGCAGTGTGTGTGTGTGTGTGTGTGTGTGTGTGTGTATACACACACACACACATATATTCCTAAAAGGAAGTGAACATATCATTAGTTTCTTTCTCATGTGATACTTAATAAATTCTTGGTGAACTGTTAGGTAGTTCCTATTTACTTAGAGGACTAAGACAGCTGGAGCTTTTAAAAAGAGGTCACAAACACTTCTGATTACAGAAAAGAGTGAAAAAAGGCATCCTTTTACCATACTGTTAAGACCAAAGCAGGGGCACCCCCACACGCCATCTAATGCAGGGATATGAGCCTGGCACTCACACAGCCCATATTCTGCTAACCTTCTCAACGATCTTTTGTCAAGCAATAGAATTCCAGTCAAATCATTTCTGACATTCTCAGTCTCACACCATTCTTCTTTGTCATAGGTAAAGCATCTGTATATGTAAGAAGTAAACAACACAAGAGGATCGGAAGCAATGGGCCTATCTGATAAGTGTAGTCTGAATGGTTCTGTACACTATTACAAATGGTTCAGTGCCCCAGGCAGCTTTCAATGTGATGGTGACAATATGATCAAGACTGACAGACTGTCCAAGAGTCTGATGTCTTTTCAGGAAATTTAAGACATTTGAAAGTTGCTCTCCAACAGGGGACACAGACACAAAACCTCTCCTTCCTTTTATCCTGAAATACCAGTATTTTCACTAGATATGCACATACAAATTTAAAACAGTGGTACACAGTGCACAGTGACCTAACATTTGCAGATTGTTTATGTGCCTGAAAATATAATGTCAATAAAAAAATACCAGAGAGGTGGGGACAAAAGACCTTCTCTGAATTCTGTACAGCACAAATGAATTTCAATTCAACAGGCAGCAGGCCATGAAGAGGGAGTCATCCTTGGAAACCAGCAGTACTACAAGATGGAAGATCACAGATCTGGTGATGGGGGATAAGATGCATAGTAAGGCCCGTTTTCCTGTGGAAAGAAACAAAAAGGCAAAAAAATATTTACAACATTAAAAGCAGGTCTCCTTTAACATCTGTGAGCATAGAGGGAAAAGTGTTTTAAGACAGAATTAAAGACAGAACAAACTATGTAGTGACTTAGCTCAGGACCATGAAACCCAAATTTCCTTAAAGGGAATCTAAGAATCATAACTGTGTTGGCAGACTGTTGATGCTCTCTTGCCACGCACAAGGAGCAAGGCTTGTGAAAGTTCTCAGGTCATTCGGTTCAAGATGGAGAACTGCATGCCAGGCCTTTAATGTCTAAGGAAGGCAACATAGTTCCAGAGTGACTATTTGGCCCACATTTTTCCTAAGTTTGTCTGGATAAAAACTAAGAAAGTTAATTTCAATGGTTTTAAGTTAATTAAGTTCCCAAAGCCAATAGGCATCAAGTCCCTCAATTAGGTTAACGGGATATAAGACTGTTCTGTAGCTTCTAAGATTTTTTTTTCCTCCAAAGAGTTTATTTTCATTAAGCCCTAAGGTAAGGAATGTGTAACATTAAGGCAAGTTAAGACTTGGGAAGAGAGATGAGGGATGATGCTTGAATGAGACATTTTATGGTTTTAATTAAGGGATTAAAAAAATCTTACGCTAATGAACTATCATATACTTTGCACTAGATCCACTGAAGCAGGGATAAATACTGGTCCAATTCTAGAGGAACAAGTAGATGTTGGGGTATTAGTGTCTAGGAATTTTTGGTTTCTGAATATAAATGTGACAAAGGACCGAAAGATTTTTCCTTTGAACTCAAGTGAAGTCAAATCCTAAAATCTATTATATTTTTAAAACCTGAATCATCTATAAAAATAATTCTTTGCATATTGCTGTAAAGAATTATCTTTTTTATTCCTGATTCGAGTTCTATTCTCCTTATCATATCCTTCACCTCTCCACAAAGATTACAGAATCACAGAATGTTAGAAGTGGAAGGGGGAGGGGAAGGAAGAGAATAATAATCTATATCACACCTACTATGTGCCAGGAACTGTACTTAGCATCTTTTACAAATAATACTTTATGATATTCCATTCTCTACGGAGGGGATTTTAGGCCTCACCAAGTCCAACTGACTTATTTTACAGATGAGGAATACGAGGCTTTGAGTTTAAGGGCCCAGCGTACAGTCACAGAGTTGAACAAAGAGAAATTTTTTTAAAAGCAAATATTGGTCATGATCAGGTAAATCAATTTTAAGGCTCCTCTGAAAATGAAAGATTCACTTCTCCCTAAACAGACAACAAATATTTATTAAGCACCTGCTAAGAGAAAGGCACTGTGCTAGGTGCAGAGGATACAAGGCCATAACTAAACACTTCCTGCCCTCAAGGAGCTTATGTTCTATTGCTCATAGCCTGTATTTATACAGTGCCTTAAAGCACTGGAAGCTTTCCACATAATAACATACTGAACACCTCTGAACCTCCCCCTTTCCAAGTGACCTAACCATGGCTATGAAGTACTGCAGCCATAACTTGAACTCAGGGTTTTGACTTTAAGTCCGGGGTTGTTGCTACCATAATCCAATCCTCTCAGAATAGATTTCTTAATTCTCTTTCACTGCTCTGTTTCCTTAAGTTTACCACACACACACTGAAAACTTGTTAATGCTCATGAAAGTTTCTTATACTAGTTAAGGGGATTTGTTCTGTGAAGTTTGGATTCAGTCAAAGGGCCATACTGGAGGACCTAGAGGGCCACATGCGGCTTTGAGGCTGCAGGTTCCCCACCCTTAGGCTAGACTGTGAAATGGCAACTTGGCAGGGCATAAAGTCTGAGCAGAACCTGAAGGAAGGGGGTGTGTGTGTGTGTGTGTCTGTGTGTGTTCAAAAACAGTGGAGTGTCAACTTTGTAAAAAATATTGAGTACACTATGTGAGGGAAATGGAAATGACTCAACATGCCACTTCTTTGATTTCTGGTGTTCACATGAACAGCCAATGATGCCTGTGATACACTTCCTTTTTCACTCTGCCATTCAGAATCCTCATCATGTTTGCATGTTCAGCTCAAGTGAGAGATTTTCCAGCCTTCCTTGATTCCTTCACCTCAGTATTCTCTCCCTCCTGAAATATTCCAGAACACTTTCTATTTCTCTTTTGCTCCTCTCCACCCCGCCACTCTAAACCTTGTATCATACTCACATCTGTGCATATGTTATATCCCTTTCCTCCCCCTGCCCCTAGTAGGACTGCCAGCTCATTACATCAGAGATTGTCATTTTTCTTTATAACTTACCAAAATGCCCTGTGCATGGCTTCTGGGACCAAACCTGATACCACTGGCATAGGGAACTCCTACTGAGAAACCCCTCTAACCTGGGGCACTGAGAGGTGCCATAACTCACCCACAGTCCCACAGTCAGCATGTTATTAGATGGAGGACTTGAATGCAGTCTTACTGATTTTTAGGTTGTCTCTTTAAGCACTAAAGCCACTCTGCCCTGCATACAACAGGTGCTTAATAAATACAATTCACCAAACATTTATTAAGGGCCTGCGATGTGCCAAAAGCACCAGAGACATTAGGCACTGCTGTATTTACATCACTTAGTTAAGATGTAACTTAGTTAAGTTAACATCTAAGTTAACTTGGTTAAGCCTCCATGAGGCTACAGTCAATTGGGTGATCACAAAGAAAGGTAAGTACAATACACAATCTGAAGTGTTAAACAAATTATTAGGGGGCACAAAGTAAAGGGCTATATTAAGTGTGAAGCAGAAGGTCCTTAATGGGAAGGACAGCATGGAAGGCTTCATGAAGGAGGCAGTGTCCGGGATGAGTGTCAATGGATGGGTAGGAATTCAAAAAGTAAAGCAGGGGAGAAGAAAGAAGTGGGAACAGAACAGAGAGGGCCTGGGGAGAAGTGACATGAGGGGAATATAGAGGGACCTCAATGCCCCACAGGGGGTTGGGAGCTTTCCTTAGTGGGCAGTAGGGAGGGAGTAAGAAAAAAAAAAACTAAGGCTGACTGTAGGCTTGTTTATTAAGTTTGAAGTGCTGGGACATGAGATGGAGAAATCCTGGAGGCGGATGAAAAATAGGCCTGAGCTCAGAAGGGAGGTGTAGACTACAGACACACATTTGGGATTCATCTATGGAGAGGGGGTAGTTAAACGATATTGATGGAAATGAGACTGTAAGGGAGGAAGGTTGAGCGACAAAACAAGAGGGGCAGGGACATCTTCAGAACACCTACATTTTAAGGTTGGGAAGATTAGGAACCAGTAAAAGACACAGAAGAAGGATAGTTAGAAAAGCAGGGAAAAAACAAAACAAAACAAAACAAAAACACCTCAGTGTAAGTGTGGTATCTTTGAAGCCAAGGAAAGGAAGAGTATCTGGTGGGCAAAACTGTGTGCAAAAGCTGCTGCGAGGATAACAAAGGAGGGTCACGACTCTCAAAGGCCTCTGGCGGCTGAGTAGGTAGCAAGGAACTAGAGACACATTAGCAAATATACATTGTATTAGACAACTTTTTCCATGAAGTTCATCAGTGAAAGGCGTGACAAGGAAGGGTCAAGGGAAGTTGTTTTTTAGAGCCAGGAGACTAGTGCATATTTGTAAGCAGATGGGAAGGAGTCAGTGAAATGAATTAAGCCAACTATTTTCTCTTTACTCACTCACCACATATTTTAGTCTCCTTGAGTAAGAATGTGGTTATCTTATAGACTGTTCCTAATATCTCCCATATGGCCTGCCAGGTGTCCATGACTAAAATTATTTTAAGGGTGCATTATAAAGTTTATAATTAAAAAAAAACTATCTTTAGGCTATTTGAATGAGAATGATAATACAAAAATAATAATATAATAATAGCTAACATTTAATATAGCACTTACTATGTGCTAGACACTGTTAAGCACTTCACAATAATTATTTCTCATTTAATTCCCACAACAACCCAGCAAAGTAGGTGCCATTGTCATCTCCTATTTACAGATGAGGAAAAAGAAGCAAACAAGATTAGTGACTTGCCCAGGGTCACACAACGGGTGAGTGCCTGGGGCCAAATCTAAACTCAGGTCTTCCTCCCGACTCCAGGCCTGGACTTCTATCCACACTGTGCCACCTAGTGGCCTCTATGTATAATGCCATTTTCTATTTCTTCGCATGGTAGGTGAGACAAAGCACGAGGTCTCTGGAGAGCACCAGAGACCTTCCAAGCGCACATGAAGCCATGAATTACTATGGTTCTAGTCTTTCAACCAATTACGAATCTATCTAACTACACTACTGTCTGCCTTGTATCTCTATTTTTTTCCCACAAGAGCAGCAGGAAACATTTTCAAACAGCTAAAATTGGGGTAAACTCTATCAACAGCATTCCCTTGACTTAACAGTCCAGGGACCCTTTTAAAAAAGGAGATAAGTTTAGTTTAAAATATTCTGGCTCTCTGTTACTTAGGGGATGGTTAATACCTAGCTTTTTAAAACTGTAGGATAACCTCCACGAAAATAGGATGTTAAAAAAATTCTAGATTATACTATAGAGGGTTTTTGTTCATTTGTTTGTTTCATTCACTGCATCTGCATCCCTCACGTCTAGGATGGTACCCGGCACACAGTAGGTGCTTAATAAATGCTTATAGATTGTGTTTCCTTTTTTTTTTTAAATCACTGTGTAATAATTTTAGGCCTGTGTCTCTGATGGACAGAGATATGACAAGGTAAAAACAAACACACAAAATTCAAACCCAAACTGATTTAGGACAGCTGGCCTGGGTGTGGTAGAATTTTAACTGAATTTTAACAACTGCCTATTCATTTTTAGATGCTTAGACACACAATGTGTGTCACTGCAAAACAGTCCCTTGGGTCTTCTAATGATCATAAAACAGATGACATGCATATCTGTTCCAAAAAATAAAGTATGAACCAAAACACGGGCTTTTGAAATGTCATTTCAGTTTTTTGTGTCAAAAGTAATTAGCTAGAACCCTATGCCTAGCACATTCCCTTCAAG